TTTTTTTGAAAACTATTGATTCTACGAAAAAAATAAAAGAAGTAAAAAAGTTTCTAAAAGAATCAAATTTTCTAACGCATATTTCTAGATAAAAATTACATTCCGGCCCGTTAAAAAGTTCTAATAAAAAATTGAATAGGGGTTGCTAGTTTCATCACGATTCATCTTATAACGATACAGGAGGATTAAAAAAATATTATTAAGTATCCTTTTTACTAGTGGAAAATGTCCACTACATATCATTCTTTTAACTTGACCAAAATTTAGGAAAAAAATAAAAATCTAATTTTCATCTCCCCCTTTGCAGAAGTGTAACTTTTCAGGGAGGGATAGGGGAAAGTAGGGTAAAACTGGATACCATTTTGGATTTGTCTTCCTACAAAAAATCTGAGAGTAAAAAAAATTTTGCCGGCCGTTAGTAATCTTTAGTGAATCTTAAACTATGAGAAAATAAAGCTAGTTGTTGAAAAAAAATTTTTGGTTACCAAGAATAACAAGATTTTGTGGAGAAGTTAAAGTACCCGGTTTTGCCCTACCGGTAGGGTCAAACCGGGTACCTATTTGAAAATATGCAAAACACCATGTAATTACAAAATCTAGATTTATTTTAATCAAAATACAATATATAGATGTATTCTATTGACAAAAATCATAAATAAAAATATCCTCTTGTTCGACATTGCTGCAGAACTTCCTTATTTAACTTTTTAACTTTAGGAGTTTCAAAAAGCTTTCTTTTAGTGGTTTCTTCTTCTGAGTGTTAGTTTTCGTTTCCAACTGTTTTTTGTAGGAAGACAAAGCCAGGATAACAGTTCTTCCTCTTTTCATTACATGAGATGTATAAGTACCCGGTTTTGCCCCAACACAAGGAAAGTAACAAATACGGCGATTGTATATTCTGGCGTACAAAGTGCCGATCAAAACTAATATGATATACTCTCTAATATGTACAGAATGCAATGCTGCATTTACCGAAACAGATGCTCTATCTATAAAAAGTGCACGACGACTCGATTCTTGCCTCGATATCAATCTTTTTTGGGCTAAAAACTTTGAACTTCTATTAAAAAAGAAATATCGTGTGCACAGGGGCATGGTTTGTTTTAAAATAATGATGGCGCCAGTCTACAACTAATAACATAAGTTAGCCATAAATAGCAGCACCTATTACGAAAAAACAGGGGTACCCGGTTTGACACGCCTACCCGGTTTTACCCAACTTTTCCCTATATGTTTATATGAAAGATCCCCCTTAATTTTCAACAAAGAATCATCTCTTAGAATTTTTCGCACTTATTTAGAATCACCTTATATGTATACGATTCTCCAGCAAAAGATTAATTGCAATTCTAGAAGCAATATGGGTTTTATGAAAAAAGAATTAAATTATATTATTTCTCTCTCTCTTTCTTTTCTTAAGCCCACTTTACACGATCTATAATTTGCAACAGAATTCAAGACAGAATTCTATTTATAATTTTTATACGTTGTGTAATACAGAAAACATGTGAACAATCAGAATTATAATTATCATGCTTTATTTTTATAAATAGAAAAGACGCATGAAATATGCGCAATGTACCCATGATTGGTGAATTGTAAATGACATAAACTACAAGTTAACCTACTCTCGTATCTGCTTAATAATCTAAAGAAAGAAAAGAAGAAAAAAAAATATATGTGACAATGTCTTGGTCCCGGGAGCAAGTTATTTGTTTATTAACCGAATATAAGAAATATTCTTGCCTATACGTAGTAAAATCTATCAATTACAAAAATAAACATGCTCGTGCCGATGCATTAGAAAAGATTCTTTCTGAATTAAAATGTTTGAGACCGAACGTTACAATCGCAGAAATTAAAAATAAATATGGTGCTCTTCGCTCAAATTTTCTTGTTGAATATCGCAAACCATAATATACTTTAATTATATTTACCATAATATACTTTTATTATATTTATATGTATTTCTTAATAACTATGTCGTATTTTTTAATAACCCAACCATATGTCAAAGAAAGAAACAATCGAATATTCTATACATAATTTAAAATCAAATTATGGTTCGTGTAATACAAAAATTTTTTCTTATCTATAATTATATTCATAATTTGATATATAAAATTATAAATAGAATTCTGTCTTGAATACTGTTGCAAATTATAGAACGTGTAAAGTGGGCTTTACGTTGTATTGTGATTTCTTTCAATTGGACGATCTTTCCATCTGTTCAAATCTTTTTTTCAAGATTTTTATAAACAATAGAGAAATAAATATTCAAATGACGCAGTATAAATACGTCTCTGCGATCGGGAGCAAAATCTGAGAAAAGAACATTTCATATCCGGCTCGAGAAAGATTGCGCGCAACGTTACCATTCTTATGTAGACGCGAGTTGACGTATGCGTCGATGCGAAGCCAAAGAAATGTCATTGTAAAAATGTGGAGAACTGAACGAATAAGAAAGGAACGCGGGGGATAAAAGAAAAACTCACCGGAGACCGCGCACATAACATCGAGGACATCTGGCTGAAAGCAGCGAACGTGACGGTTAATAGAAACGTTCAAGCGACACAATGACGTTTCGCCGCACGTGGACCGCGGCGCGGATCCAACGTCAGTGGTAGGGTTGCCAACCGTCCGGTTTTGACCCGGACTGTCAGGTTTTCAAGAGTCTTGTCCGGTGTCCGGTTGACAAGTCAAACCGGACGTCATATATCCGGTTTTTAGGTACATATAAATAATAAAATGAAATTTAAATGATAGATCTAGAAGATCAATTATCGACAATTGTTATGGCTCCTGTACACAGAACACGGCTTGCCGCGAGGTGGAAATTGATGTGAGTACTTATAAAAATTGAGCAAAATCGTACTAGTATCGTTACATGTCCGGCTATTGGGACGTTTACCTTAGTTTGTTTTTTATTTTATTCATCCAAATTCTGTTTTCAAAATTGTTTAGAAAACAGTATTGTAAGTAATTTCTGATAAAATTTTGTAGTTAATCTAGTTTTATGATTACTGTTTTTGTCCGGTTTTGTCCGGTTAAATTTTGTTTCCAAAGACGAAATGTCCAGTAGTTTAGATTTCTGGATTTGGCAACCCTAGTCAGTGGCCGTCAAGTGTTGAAATAGCCCAGATCAAACGCGAATAATCGCAACAGCCCCTAAAAAATACTAACGTGGTGAAAACGTCCTAGGTTTCTTAAAAAGCCTATCTCTCCCCCGACTGAGAAGAGCGAAGATCCGAAGGAACTGTGCGCACTTGATACCTGGTTAATAAAACCTTTATACGAGACATAAAGCGATACAGTGATGTATATGTCGCGAGATATAAAGTACAATCGTGGCGAGAGAGGCGGGAGGATAGTCGAGAGAAAGCCACTACGTGTTGCGGTGGCAAGAGACACGGTCCGGAGCTATGGATGGAGGTGGCCGGGGCCTCAGAAACATACAGCGGCGAGAAAGAGGTAAATCGAGAAAGAGAAAGAGAGAGAGAGAGAGAGAGAGAGAGAGATGCCAGCCTCTCGTCGTACACACGCGCGCGTAGGGTGTACGCGTAAAGAGCGACGCGTGTTGTCTCATGGTCACGCGTGTGCGAGATACGTAATAGGTTGAAGAGAGTAAAGGAGCGCAGTCGCAAAGCCGGAGCCACCCTCGTGACCCCCGCCAAGCAGCGCCGGCGTCGACGGCGGCGTCGGCGTCGGCGTCGTCAACCCCATCCCGAGTCCCGAGGAGGCAGCGAGTTCGACTCGTGTCGGGTTACGGGCCGCACGCACGGTTCGTCGATCGTTCATCTCGCGATAGGGGCTGTTTTCGCCCGCTTGAAACGGCAATAGCGACGAGAGCGCGCGATTTTCCCTCGTCGCTTCGTCTGTCGGTGACGTAGTACTTTTCGCGCCTATCGCCGCGATAAGAATCTCACCGCGATAAGTGCCGAGAAGCGTCTAATGTGATTTATCTCGTCGCGAGTGACGGTGGAGGATGATCCGAGTGAGAGAGGAACTTGAGGACTCTGTCTGAGGGAAACGCGATATAAACCCCCCCGATGACCCGGTGCTGAAACCTGTGATTTATACGCCGCGATTTCAAGCTTCGCTCTCGCGATCCGCGGGAAATAGAGAAGAAAGTGAAAGGTATAGGTGTATGCCTGTGTGTGCGTGTACGTGTATATTTTTCGGTATGACCAGTCACGAGTGAGGCTCCCGACACCCGACATCCATTCTCGCGGAATCACACGAACGCGTAAGTGCTGATTACCTTTCGCTCTCAAAGTCTTTATACAGCGTGGGTCTTTATTACCTCGGTAAACGCGCGCCGGCTCGAGAGAAGAGTTACGAGTCTGTGTATAATTGCTCGAGTTGGAGACTTATCCGTTTGCCGAGGGACGGATAATTTTATCAGCTGAAAACCTACTCGGCATCTCACTCATTTTCGTTCCAAGTATCCTAAATTATTCGCACAATAATCAACTCTTCTCGCGATATAATCGAGAAAGATACTCGTAGATTTTAAGACGGAAATCGAGCGGTAAATTGTCAGGGATGATATATTCTGAATAATTTTCAGATATAAAATTAAATAATTTGCAATGTTGAGATAAGAAATTGTACCTTTTTTGCGAGAGTACAAAGTTTCCAAAATATTTTCATTGTTGTAAGAAACGGAATATCGTGTTTGGCGTTTAGTTGATACTTGACATCAATTTTTTAATCGTAATTGGGGCAGTTCGGGCATCGATCGTAACAATATCAATCGCATTTTAAATTGCTCGTTACAAAATCATGTTATAAACAGGCAGCAATGGTTGCTGCTATTCATGCAATTAGTGTAAACACGTAAACACCATATCAGAATTCCGATATTTTATAGGAAAAAATTTAATCTTGTACTATTATAAAACATCCATTTATGATTCTATCTCCTTTCTCTCTTTTTTCTCGAGTATCACATTTTACAACTGAGATTAAAAGAAAGGAATTAAGAATTCTTTAATAATGGGATTTAAAATATTTTATAAATAAGAATCGTCTTTTTTTTCTCTTTATCAAGAATCAAAGCGAGCCTTGTGAAAATGGCTCTCTATTTTTTCGGTATTTTACATTTATCTATGCATTTTCACTATCTAAATATAGAAAAAAATGATGATTTGAATCATTTACTAGGTTTCCTAAATATAAGAAAACAGAAAAGAAATTTCCACTCTGTTTTACAAAAGTATAAGTTTGATCATTTTCTGACTTTTTCGTCTCGAATATCACGGAATGTTAAAATTGCCATTTGTTGCAATTGAATTTAAGCTTCTCTAGTCTTAATTCATCGCTTTCCTCAAACGCTGCATTCAATTTATATTGCTCTTCAGTAAAATCACAGAATTCTGCGGAAAAACTTAATTTACAACTCTAAATTATATATATTTCTCAGAAATATAAAGTATATATACAGAGTGTCCCAGAATTAGACCGATAAACCTCAGGTGGTTATAGGACACCAAAACAAGTCAATTTCAATAAAGCCGTGTCCGCAAATAAGTCGTTTTGGCACTAGAGAATCAAAGACTAACAAGGGCAAAAATCTTTGGAAAAAATTATTTTTTCAAAATTTTATTAATGTGGTTAAATATTTTGTATAAAACATTCTTTGAAATTACAAATAATTTTTGAGATATATCGAAAAAAGCAAGAAGCCGCTCTACATATGAGAGATAATTTCACACCTTATAGAATCGTTTTTGGGCCACAACTGGAATTTCTAAATTCATCTATTTACCCCCTTCCCCCTACATGTGTGTAAAGTTTCATCAAAATCAGAATTTTCGGGTTGGCGAGGTTCTCTTATTTGTCTTTGATTCTCTAGTGCCAAAACGGCTCATTTGCGGACACGGATTTATTGGCAAAATTGGCTTGTTTTGTATCCTTTACAACCACCTGAAATCGGTTTAATTCTGGAACACCTTGTATATATAAATCTCTTTCGCAAATCGTGCATATTTATTTATTAAGATTGAAATAACTATTAAATATGAAAATGCGAGAAATCATTGCATATTCAGTATGCAGTATTGCAGTAAAATCATCATTATACGATCTTTTGATAATACCGATTGAATAGAAGTGTAATTGGACGTCGTTTAAGGATAATTTCTCGTTTTTTTTTTTTTTTTTTTTTTTTTTTTTTTTTTTTTTTTTTTTTTTTTTTTTTTTTTTTTTTTTTTTTTTTTTTTTTTTTTTTTTTTTTTTTTTTTTTTTTTTTTTTTTTTTTTTTTTTTTTTTTTTTTTTTTTTTTTTTTTTTTTTTTTTTTTTTTTTTTTTTTTTTTTTTTTTTTTTTTTTTTTTTTTTTTTTTTTTTTTTTTTTTTTTTTTTTTTTTTTTTTTTTTTTTTTTTTTTTTTTTTTTTTTTTTTTTTTTTTTTTTTTTTTTTTTTTTTTTTTTTTTTTTTTTTTTTTTTTTTTTTTTTTTTTTTTTTTTTTTTTTTTTTTTTTTTTTTTTTTTTTTTTTTTTTTTTTTTTTTTTTTTTTTTTTTTTTTTTTTTTTTTTTTTTTTTTTTTTTTTTTTTTTTTTTTTTTTTTTTTTTTTTTTTTTTTTTTTTTTTTTTTTTTTTTTTTTTTTTTTTTTTTTTTTTTTTTTTTTTTTTTTTTTTTTTTTTTTTTTTTTTTTTTTTTTTTTTTTTTTTTTTTTTTTTTTTTTTTTTTTTTTTTTTTTTTTTTTTTTTTTTTTTTTTTTTTTTTTTTTTTTTTTTTTTTTTTTTTTTTTTTTTTTTTTTTTTTTTTTTTTTTTTTTTTTTTTTTTTTTTTTTTTTTTTTTTTTTTTTTTTTTTTTTTTTTTTTTTTTTTTTTTTTTTTTTTTTTTTTTTTTTTTTTTTTTTTTTTTTTTTTTTTTTTTTTTTTTTTTTTTTTTTTTTTTTTTTTTTTTTTTTTTTTTTTTTTTTTTTTTTTTTTTTTTTTTTTTTTTTTTTTTTTTTTTTTTTTTTTTTTTTTTTTTTTTTTTTTTTTTTTTTTTTTTTTTTTTTTTTTTTTTTTTTTTTTTTTTTTTTTTTTTTTTTTTTTTTTTTTTTTTTTTTTTTTTTTTTTTTTTTTTTTTTTTTTTTTTTTTTTTTTTTTTTTTTTTTTTTTTTTTTTTTTTTTTTTTTTTTTTTTTTTTTTTTTTTTTTTTTTTTTTTTTTTTTTTTTTTTTTTTTTTTTTTTTTTTTTTTTTTTTTTTTTTTTTTTTTTTTTTTTTTTTTTTTTTTTTTTTTTTTTTTTTTTTTTTTTTTTTTTTTTTTTTTTTTTTTTTTTTTTTTTTTTTTTTTTTTTTTTTTTTTTTTTTTTTTTTTTTTTTTTTTTTTTTTTTTTTTTTTTTTTTTTTTTTTTTTTTTTTTTTTTTTTTTTTTTTTTTTTTTTTTTTTTTTTTTTTTTTTTTTTTTTTTTTTTTTTTTTTTTTTTTTTTTTTTTTTTTTTTTTTTTTTTTTTTTTTTTTTTTTTTTTTTTTTTTTTTTTTTTTTTTTTTTTTTTTTTTTTTTTTTTTTTTTTTTTTTTTTTTTTTTTTTTTTTTTTTTTTTTTTTTTTTTTTTTTTTTTTTTTTTTTTTTTTTTTTTTTTTTTTTTTTTTTTTTTTTTTTTTTTTTTTTTTTTTTTTTTTTTTTTTTTTTTTTTTTTTTTTTTTTTTTTTTTTTTTTTTTTTTTTTTTTTTTTTTTTTTTTTTTTTTTTTTTTTTTTTTTTTTTTTTTTTTTTTTTTTTTTTTTTTTTTTTTTTTTTTTTTTTTTTTTTTTTTTTTTTTTTTTTTTTTTTTTTTTTTTTTTTTTTTTTTTTTTTTTTTTTTTTTTTTTTTTTTTTTTTTTTTTTTTTTTTTTTTTTTTTTTTTTTTTTTTTTTTTTTTTTTTTTTTTTTTTTTTTTTTTTTTTTTTTTTTTTTTTTTTTTTTTTTTTTTTTTTTTTTTTTTTTTTTTTTTTTTTTTTTTTTTTTTTTTTTTTTTTTTTTTTTTTTTTTTTTTTTTTTTTTTTTTTTTTTTTTTTTTTTTTTTTTTTTTTTTTTTTTTTTTTTTTTTTTTTTTTTTTTTTTTTTTTTTTTTTTTTTTTTTTTTTTTTGTTTTGGTGTTTTTTTTTTTTTTTTTTTTTTTTTTTTTTTTTTTTTTTTTTTTTTTTTTTTTTTTTTTTTTTTTTTTTTTAATCAGACGCGTAGATTGGCGTTGCGTAATCGTTGCCCTGTGATTTTCCAAGCTGCGGAAGTCGGTTGAATCGTCTAATTGGCAACCAGGCATCGCTTTGATCCGGAAATTGCGATCTCTGTTGTCTCGAGCACGATTAAATTGTTCTCGACGTTGTCTATTTGCGCGGCGCATTATCATCGTTAAACGAAACAATTGGTCCCGCGTGTTGCGGGCTCTGCGAT